ATAACCAATGTGCTTAAAATAAGAAGAAAACTTCAAATAATGCTTTATTTATTAGAAAAAATTATAAGAGTTTTGTTTGTAACAGTGTAGAAACGAGACATAAAAATTACAACAAAGCGTTTCCTATTCATAGCTGGTTAAAGTTGTTATCTCCCAGGGTTCCTTGGGGTATTCATCCACTTTTCCTTCGAGGTTAATATCTTCCTTACCTGTACTATGCATGATTCTTTATCGCCTTACGAGATCATCGCCAACAAAACCAATTATTTTTACTTTCTGAAATGCCGGATGCTATTTAGGCAAAGTAACAGATTTTAATTTTTCTGATTTATCATCGTTTATTATCATCATTAACCTGGCATTTAGCCCTTTTTGTTTATACTATCAATTAATAAGTATTTTTTTTATTATATAATCATTCTTATCACCGTCTTTTACCATGTATATAACTTTTTTTTGTATATATTATCATGTATTTGAATTTTCCTTGTTTTATCATTTCATATAATTCATATATGAAATCATATTTATCATATCATTTCGGTTTTATCATATCATTTCGATGACATATTCATTTTTTAGATGATTTTGCATCTTTGGGGCAATTTAATTTTTCAAATTTGTTCCACATATACTTCTATTGTAGTTCTGGGAGACAGCGAAATTTTCGTTCTCGTGATATATTGTAAAAAATAACGATATCGAATGATGTCTCGCAATATTTTTTATCATAATTAAGATTGATTTTTTTAAAAAAATTCATCAATGTTTCCTTTGCTCAAATGAAGAAGGGAAAAATTTTTTGGTCCCCTGTTACAGATATACAGGATTTGCAGCGTGATTTCATGCTTGAAATAAGGCAGTTCATCATTTCATGTAGCCTGAACTGTTCTGCGGTAATTTCGCTCCTTCCAACTCCAAAGAGTGTTACGCACGATCAATCTAGTGAATTACAATTGTTGAATGTTTATTTGCTTTGGTTTGTATAAATGTATGTATAAACCAAATTTCATTCAAATCGATCCAATAGTTCTAGAGATAATCGACCAAGTCTACAATTTATCTTACTTTCTTACACCAATGTATATGCATGTTTGTTGACAGTTTATTATAGACAAATCAAATTTGTTTTTTAGTTTACAACGCTTTTAGAAAAAAAATTCTAGTGTTAGTAAAATAAAAATGGTAACCATAACTGTAAAAAGAAAGATCTAAAATTTTATCATCACCTTAGACTACATCAATAATTATAAGATAGTTTATTCATCATTATATTAATTAGGTATTATGATTCAACTTTGAAGATGAAAATAAAATGTTCTAGGTGAAATAAGAAAAGTTGACCGCTTTGTTCTTTTACTTTTTCAGTAAATGCTTCTTTACTAAAAGGATAATTGCAAGCACTTATTCAAAATTCGGTCAATTTCCCCCTTCCAAAATTTTAATTTTGAGGCGATCCTGCTGAAGGGTGATAAATCTCCCGGCATAAACAATATTAATAATAGCCTGTTAAAAAATCTGCTGAATTATCATCAAAGACTAGACTAGCTCGAATTTATATTGCCTACATCAAATATAATTACATTCCACATCCCTCGAAATTAGAAGCAGTTATACTCTTCCCAAAACCGGGAAAAGATCTTCCAAAACCTGAGACCTTTGGACTGATAATTCTACTTTCTTCGCTGTCAAAAATCTTTGAAAAAATATCAAACTTTTTTAACTAAGATTCCGGCTCAGCATTGATGGTTTTAGGGAGAAATTTTCTACTGAAAAACAGCTTCTACGATTTATTGAGTACATCATCAATAGCTTCTATAGAAAAGAGCTTGACTAACGTTAGAAAAGTGTTCGATAAAGTTTGGCATAAAGGGCTAATTTTCAAACTACAAAAATTAAATTTACCAATAGACTATATTCTAAATAATAGACTATATTATAAATTCATAGACTTCTATTTATCTTCTATTTAATAGACTATATTATAAATTCATATCTTACAAACAGGAACTTTCAAGTCAAGTTTAAAGATAACAATTTAACTCTCAAAACTATCAGAGCAGGTGTACTCCAAGTGAGTATTCTGGCCCATTTTTCATATTTTGTATATTTTCCCAAAATAAGACAATGAAGTTAAACAAATGACCGCATATTATGTAGATGATACAGCCATCATTTCAAGATGCCCTAACAAAACAATTAGAAACCTCATTATCAGTTCTAAATCCGAGTAAAAGTGGCATAACAATTGGAAAATTAAAATAAATGCAGATAAATCGCAAATACTAAGTATTAGAAAACATGGAACAACAATCCCTATCACAGAAGATATATTATTTAATCAAAACATCCCAGTTGTTAATCAGGCTAAATACTTAGGAGTCATATTTAACAATGAACTCACTTGGAAAGATCATATTATCAACACCGTTAAAAAAAAGCAAATAATGCTATTTTTGAACTTAAACATCTTATAAGCCATTATTCTAACTTATCACTTTCGGACAAGAAACTTATTTACATGATGTGTATTCGTCTTATCAATACTTACGTGGATTCATTGCCAAGGGTACTGCACACAAATGTTTTATTAAAAAACTGCAAGTGTGTGAAAATAAATTCTTTAGAAAGATGGTTGCTGCTCCTAATGAATACGAAATGATAATTAATGTAAATACTTAAATATCAAACCCTTAACTGAGTATATCGAAGAAAGAAAAGCCAAATTCTACAACAAAGCTGTTGATTGCGATAACGCCAATTTCATTCAACTTGAACTGATAGTTGATAATATCAGATAAAGCCCATCAACCAACTTTCTCCTCTCCGATGGTACTCTTTCAAAATTCTTTCGTCAATAATGTAATGTTTTATTGATACCTTTCCGTTTCTATTAGCCAGCATTAATATGCTTAGATGAATCATCCCTCTGTGTATCTGCGAAGCCCATTACAGAGGAAATATTAAATCTTTTTTTTAATATTATTATAAAATAAATATTAAATCTTGGAAAATATGTATTAACTTTTTTTTTGTAATCATGAATTGAAAAGTAAAGTGTCAACATATGAACACATACTGTTCATTCAGTGGGAAATCTATGCCCAGTAATGGAACATGCCTGTTCCTTCACTGGTTAGAAGTTGTTTCTTTGTATTTTTAACATACTTTTGATGTAAAACATCACTAAAGGTACAAGAAAATTAAAGTTTATCTTTTATTTTCATTAACTTAGAAAAAAAACCAGTAAAGGAACACTTGTTCCTTCACTGGTTTTTCATCGTTTGGTGATCCAGTGAATAAACACCCCCTTATCTCAGTACTTTATTATGCTATGATGCTTTAAGAAAATAGAACGTAACTTCAATAACTATATTTTGAATTTTCCTTTTCACAGTGAGAAAAATAAAACTATTACATGCAATTAATTCCACTTCAAACATAAACATTCACCTTATAATTTTTTCAAAGAAACAAGATGTTGCAGAGATAATAAAAAATTCAAGAATTTTTCCAGAGAAGTCTGACCAGGTAATCCAAAACATTGCTACATGACTTCCTATTGCTTGGCAGTAAGCTATTATTGCCAATCAATCTAAAGAAAAACTTTCAAATTCTTATTTTTAATCAATATATATGAAATGTTCCTTCACTGATTGGTTTACCCTATATTGCTCTTATTAATTGTTGTATCTTATCATGGATTTGTTCCATTTCGTTGCCTTATGGCAATATCACTTGAAACGAAGAAGTATCGTGAGAGGTGCTATGATACCTTACTTTGAGACTACGGGGTATGTTCTGGTTGCTTGTTGACCACCTGGAAGACTACCCGCAGGTACTTGCAGAACATCTGTTATTGAAGGGAAGCTTCTGGTATGTATTAAATCGTTGCTAATTTGTATACTTTTATCTATTTTGATTTAAATAGTGTGTCTGAATTTTTTGTAAAAGTCGTGAGTGATTTACTTTTGAAAAGTCATACAAATTTATTCTGTAAGTTTTAAAAAAATTATGTGTAATTTTGATTTTTCTCTGCATGAAACGTTTTCTTTTTTCTCTTGAATATTATTTTAATTACTCTAATTCTTGCAGACTCCCCCATTTATGCTTTCAGGTTTTACAAAAAACACTAATAGGTAAATATCGTTTTACATACTTTAAACGTAAATAAATAAACAAAATGCAATGAATTTTGTGTAAAATATCATAATTAAAACAATCTAATTATCTTTTATTATTTTAATTTTGTGTTTGTATTTCATCATAAATTTTCGAGTATATGAATTATTTAAAATAATTTAATAAGGTTTTCAAATATTTTAATAGGTTTATCTTCTGGATTTCAATTTAAAAAATTTAGTTGTGTTAAAACTCTCTGATTGGAAAATGTTTTGCATGATGCTTGTTTCCTCACGTATGTATTTTTCTTTTTTCGAAATACTAATAACTCAAAATGTTTATGAGTTATATTATCTGTGTTAATCATTCATTTCATAATTAAGAAATATTTTTTTAGTTGTTTTAATTTCGGAATATTATAAACGAAAATTTTTCTAAAAGAGGTTTTGGTTAAAGTANGGCAGAAAACAAGAAAGATGGATGTAAACGAATTAAGTTTTGTCTTCGGCAGACGATTCTTCCATTATTCGTCCGAAATGAATATTCTGCGTTCAGCAGTATAGGCTAAATACCAAATATTTGTATGTTGCGTCTCTATTTTAAAAGGAGCAATTGTTGTTTATTTTTTAAAATTTAATTTTTTTAATTACAATTTTACAGTGTTCAGCATAATCTTGTATGTCTATACAATTTAAAAACTCCTTGAAAAAAAATTTTTTTTTGCAATAACGGACCCTATTTGCACAAATTCATAAAAGCGGACCCTGGTTGAAAGAATGTGAGTAATTTTTTCACAATTTCACGAAAAAGCGGACCTTTCACAAAATGTCTGGACAGACCTCTGATGAATATACTCGAGTATATGAATTATTTAAAATTATTTAATAAGGTTTTCAAATATTTTAATAGGTTTATCTTCTGGATTTCAATTTAAAAAATTTAGTTGTGTTAAAACTCTCTGATTGGAAAATGTTTTGCATGATGCTTGTTTCCTCACGTATGTATTTTTCTTTTTTCGAAATACTAATAACTCAAAATGGTTATGAGTTATATTATCTGTGTTAATCATTCATTTAATAATTAAGAAATATTTTTTAGTTGTTTTAATTTCGGAATATTATAAACGAAAATTTTTCTAAAAGAGGTTTTGGTTAAAGTAAAATTTCGTTTATCATAGATTTAGTGGAAGGTAAAGCTTTGATTAACACATATATTAAGTCAAGTAAAAAACTATTTCTGCATTAGTAACTGAAATATATTTGATATGTTGTTGACAAATTAGTTACAATGATTAAACTTACAAGTTTAATCAATGTTTATTATATGATTAAACTTATTGCAAGTTTAATCAAAGTTAATATTATATGATTAAACTTACAAGTTTAACCAATGTAACTTTATTTAGTTTAGTCCACATTGATTAAACTTGCAAAATAGTTTATAATTTAACTACTAGTAATTTTATAATTTATTTCTAACGCCATTTTCTGTTAAGATGCGGAATTTGAAATTTCAATCTACTAGAAAGAATTTATGTCATCGAAATTTAAAACCTTTTTTATGTTAATTAAAAATATTAACCAAAAATTAGTTTTTTGCTGGTAAAAAAAGTGTAAAATTATTTTTTCTTCAAATTTTTCATTTTTTTCCACACAAATAGCCAAAATTTCCGGACTTACATTTTTAGCAGAACTACCATAGATTGCGCAAACTCCTCATGCACGATGTGTCTTTTCCGCTGGACTTCAGCAGGACTCAGTTGCGTACTGGAAGTAAGATTTATTTTTGGTTACTGTTAAATTAGTTAGCTTTATGGGCTCCGTATTTTTTTTTTCCTGTTTTAATTTTTTTTGGGGATACCTTTTATTTATAAAAGTTGAATTATTTTATCGGGTTTTAAAATATTTATTTATTATTACCTTTTTAATTATTTATTTCCCCACTTGTTTGCATTTTCCCCTCGATTCTGTTTTCTAACATTTTATGTATGTAATTATTTTCTTATTGCACGTGCTTGACTATTTTTAAATTATTTTTCATCGTTAAATTTATTCATTTATTTTTGAATTTAATTTTATTTTTATTATTTGCATATTTTTTTTTTAGTATTCTATTTCTTGCGCTGCAATATGATGCCTTTCTTAAAATTATTTATTCTTGCCTCCTTCGAGCTTCGGTAGAATGTTGCAAATTTCTTCAATATGTACCGGAACTTTCATCTTATTAGTATTTTTGTTACTTAAATCAATAAAAATATCAATTGTTTTTTTTTCTCTTTCATCTTTAATATTCTATACATTACTTTAAATATTTAACACTCAGGGTACCAGTACTCTGTTTCTGTTAAATCCATTTTAATCGTAAAATTTGACGTAGCAGAAAATCTGATTTATCGTAATTTTTACAGGGAAATTTCTGAACAATTTCATTTAAATAAATATTACTATAAAAATTACGGTCAAAAATTTCATGGAAAAAATGTATTTTACGGATGCTGCAATCACGACTCCAGTATTTCACAGTGTTGAATTTTTCAATTTAAATATAGTTTGGGTAACAATTTTAGTCTAACAATGGAAAAAATGTCTAATGCTGGAAATATTCAATACTCAAATTTATTCATGTTAAAGGAGGTAGCATATTTGCTGCAAAAGCAATTTAAAACTTTTTTTGCGTTAGGCTCTTTTTTTTGGAACTTTGGCGCCATTCAAAATTATTATTATATTATTAAAACAGAGAGTTGTATATTTTTTACTTGAGTAATATGCTGTTTCATAGGGTTAAAGGGAAAATCTAATCAAACGTTTCAAACTCTGAATCTAATGTGCGCAAAAAGATGGAAGCATATGCAAATGTTTTCATTGGTAATTTTATGGAACCTAACTTATGAAACCGCAGAAAAAATGTTTCCTTTCTTTCCTTTTTTCTTCTTCTTTTTTTTGGAAAAAAAACACATTTATCTAATCAATTTGTTCAAAAAAATACAGTTAAAAACTGGAAAAAAAACTGAACTATTTTAGAAAGGTATCTTTCTCGTCTCTTGCTTCAATTTCTCAGAGGCAAATTTTTCTTTCAAGTTCTGACGAAATTTTTCTATTGAGAGTTTTTCTTAGTTTAACTTACTTGGCACAAAATAAATTGTTATTCCTTCTCTAAAAGATACTGAAATCATTTCCCCCTCTTCTTCAGGTAAAATGCAGTTTCCTGTCTTTTGTTGCCTTTTCGGTCAGAATGTGTTTTGGGGAGTACTTTTATTATTTATGTTGGTTTCTGTAATTTTTAAAATTCTTAACAATAGTTATTTCAAACATCTGAAGAAAGACCACACCATAACTGAAGGAAATTTATGTTCTACAATCATTATGTCAATAGAACTTGTATAGAGGTGTCTGATAACAACTGATAATTTAAAGGATAAAATTACATTTATTCGATATTTTAATACTTACTGACGATAGATTAGAACAAACATCAGAATTTGGAGTATCGGGTAAATATATACCGGGCAATGGCACTTGACTTTAAAAAAAACATCAATGTAGGGTATACCGGGCAGTGGCACTTGACCTTAAAAAACATCAGTGTATGGTATAGCGGGCAAATGTATACCGGGCAGTGGCACTGAACCTTAAAAAACATCAGTGTAGGGTATACCGGGCAAATGTATACCGGGCAATGGCACTTGATCTTAAAAAAACATCAGTGTAGGATATACCGGGCAATGGCACTTAACCAGACCTAGTATGACTAGACTTTTGGTAAATGTCCGAAATATATACTAGGTCTAGTGCCACTTTTGCTATAGCTTAAATATTTAAAAAAAAATTTAAACAAAGCGTTTGAATCAATTTTAAACTGATAACGAAATTATTGCTTTAAAATTACAAAAATAATAATAAAAACTGCGCCAGATAAGAGTAATTGAAGTAGTTGCTTTATAGAACGCATGTGCAGAAAAAAATTTAAAAAAAAATTATCCACGTGTATCTAAAAGTGGATAAATATCCCAAGACACCATCTCCTAGTGACTAAGTGAGGAATGAATTTCTGCAAAAAAACGCCGTAACGAGAAGAGAATTTTTCACCGCAACTAAAAGATTAATGGCAAATTTGACTCTACTGTTTAAATTTAGTTGTATCAAAAGATAAGCTTTTCTACACTATTTGTCAACCACTAGAAGATATTTGTATCTGAAGAGTATTATTGTTCACAGAGAAAAAAATCTGATAAAGCTTTCTTATTTGTATAGAGTAATGGCATTTTTGGTAAATAATAATAATTTTGGTGATAAAACCAAAATTACGGTATTTTTAAGCCATTTATCTGCTAATTTTTCCGATTTTTTGAAATTCTGATTTTTAAAATTATGGTTATTATTACCATACATTTAGTAAAAGTGCACGAATGAAAAATATATTAAACCGAATAATTGCTTTTATGCCATGCTCTAAGATAACATCATAAAATTACCCAAAATTTACCAAATGCTATCAAACAGATATTAAAATTATTTATTGTTAATTTAACAACAAGTTATTACCAAAGCTCTTAGGTTAAAACTACCTTTGTCTTTGATGTTCCTATAGTGCCAGAAACAAGATAAATTTTTCCCTGTTCTATATTACCTTATTTTTGGTAATACTTTTTTCAGTTTAGTAATTACAAGATCAATTTTTATAACACAACTTGGATTTTTAAACTTTTTTTTCTAATAGTATTGCCTTCTCCTAAAACAGCCTATACTATTTGAAGTATTTTGATAGGTCTTGCATGTTTATTTTTTATTATTACTCTCACTTAATGAAAATTCTTAATAGAGATTTCTTAAATTGTTTCCCTTTTTAATTTATATGATGTATTTAATAATATTTGATTTTATATGTGTTCATTAAAACGTTTATATGTGCATATTTTTTGTATTATAATTTATAATTGTAAGTTAATTAATAATTGGAAATAGTATTACTACAATTTCTAGTGAAATGTTTAATTTTTATTATAAGTGTTCTTAAATAATTATTTTCTTTTGCAGCTTATACTCTGTTATAAGAAAATAATTTCGTCTTGTACTTGTGTTGTGGTCTATAGCACAAACTTAAATATTTCGTCTGCATCAAAAAAAGATAATCAAGGTATTTAGCATGTTTCATTATTAAGTGTGAAAAAATATTAAAATGTTTCATTAATATTAAAATCATGACCCTTAGATACTACTTTTTCTTCACAACGGTAAATTTAAATTTTCTTGTGTAATTTATCTAGTATCTCAGTAGTCTCCCCCCATACAGATTTGGTTCTTTAAATTTTAATGATGATTAAAATTTCATATTTAGTATTTTGTAAATTTGACATCTAAATTCATGGACTACTCCAATTTCTTATAAACTGTTATTAAAAACAATTCTATTCCGTAGTATAACATTCAATTGTTGTATTACGAAACTAAATCCAATAAAAGATACGCTTGAATAGAATCATCAAATAATATCATTATAAAGGATTAAATAGACACCGTAGATCTCCGATTATCCAAACGCCGATTTACCGGATTATCCATATTTCCGAATCGTACAAGGACCATATTTATTTCCACCTCCCCCACATTGGTAGAAATTTTACTAAAAAAATGGTTAAATAATAATTTATTTAATTGTTATTTAACCAAACCATATTCAAACAAAACCGTCAAATAACCGTAAACAAGATGGCATTTAAACTCTTGACTTTGACTAGAACCGTTTATGAACTACTTTCACCTAATACGGTTAAGCAACCAGAATTTCATCGCAATAACTAAGCCCACCTAATAAGGTCATTTAGTTCCTTGCAAATAAGTACAGCCCCCAAAACGGCTAATCTGATGACCAACATAACGGATGTTCGAGTCCCAGCATTGACAACACAATATTTCTTTCATTCTTTTCAGCACTTAAAGAGTTTACAGTGTTCTCCCCAATTTGCGACCTTGGACTGTCAGAATTCGAATAATCAGAATAGTC